CCACACACACACACACACACACACACACACACACACACACACACACAGAGTGTAGACCAGGCCTAAATGGCCATTCTTTAGCAGGAAAGGGGACTTGAAGAAAGTGAATAAGGAAGTGCTATTTATCCCTTCACATAACACACAAACCGGGGTCCCCAATTAAATTAATAGGCAGGAGATTTAAAATAAACATAAGGAAGTACTTCTTCACCCAACGCAGAGTCAACCTGTGGAACTCATTGCCAGGGGATGTTATGAAGGCCAAAAGTGTAACTGGGTTCAAAAAACTGGCACTGGTCATTGTCGGAAGACAGGATACGGGACTAGATTTACATTGGTCTGAACTCGTATGGCTGTTCTTATGTTCATTAGAACATATCGAACCATAAATGAAATTCTTACAGTAGTTGACAGCTTAGTCAAATACGAAATAGTTGCCAAATTGTTCATCTCAGATTAGGTTTCCTAGCTGAATGCTTCACAGTAGCTACTGTTGCATAATCATTCTGTGTTGCACCTTTGGTTTTCAATATTTGGTTTTGTCACCTTTTGTTTTAACCTCTTCCTAAAGATGTTTTAATAGACAACATCTATACAACAAAATGAAACATCACAATCTCAAGGTCTCACTGGAGGAGTGCATTTCACAAACGTATCGGGATCCACAAGGAAGATTAGTGCAGCTTACCACCTCCTTTGTCCTTGATACAGAAATGCACCCCAGCCCCATCCACAGGGTGCAGATTCCCTTCCCAGCAGGCTGTGCTGTCTCTTAAGTGAAATAAATGGATAATCTCAAGCAGGGATCTTTAGATTTAACTTCCATAGCTCACACTTACTTCCAAGTGAAACAACAGGAGCTGCATGTGCTCGTTTTTTATGAATGTTAGGTGTGGCGCTCTGACGCCTGGCAACTTGCCATTAGAGGGCTCAGTTGGGCAAAGAATGGGCATCCCTCCAAAGAGGTGAAAAACAGCTGAAAAAACTACATTGTACATTAACTAACAGACATTTTGGATTGCATTCTTGCACCTGTTAGCAGAAACAGCTGCAAATGCAAAATTTAAGAGCTTTACCGTAAACTGTCTAAAGAAATGAAAACTAAAAACACATCAAAGAAAGGGCACCCTGGTTTATGGACATTCAACAATCACGGTCTATTTTAAATAATAAAAATAATACATTTTAAAGTGTAGAATCAGCATTCATGTTTTGTTGTTCTGCCACTTTCTGAAGAATCTAGTTTCCTACTTTGAGTACCTAAAGTCAGGAACCTAAGTTCATATTCGGAAGCCTAAACATTAGCTTTATGAACAACAGACTTTGGATGCTAAATAGAGATGTAGGTGATATAATCAGCATGTAAATATTAATAAAAACAAGAATTTAGGTTACTAAAATAATGATACAGGTACCTAATTTTAGGCACATACATGTGAAAAATGAACCCTAAAGAAGATAAAGTATAAACTTGAGACCAAAGCCAACAAATAGTTCATGGTGATTCCGAAATCAGCTTTCAGGTAATGCAGGCTCACATACATATGTGCATTCCATGTGACACTGAAAAATATTTCCAGATTTGAAAATATAACAGCACAGTACTGACCTAGCCTTTCAACTAAATGATTTTCAAACGGCCCTAATAAGTTTACTAACAATTCAGGAACCACCCCTTCCACCAGCAAAAAAGGCCACTTCCAAAGTGGTCAGATATTACAAGAGAGGAGCCCAGATTAGATGGAGCAAACAACCCAGCGGCTAAGAGTCCTGTGGCATCTTATAGACTAACAGATGTATTGGAGCATAAGCTTTTGTGGGTGAATGCCCACTTCTAAAGCTTATGCTCCAATACATCTGTTAGTCTATAACAGGGGTTGGCAACCTTTCAGAAGTGGTGTGCTCAGTCTTCATCTATTAACTCTGATTTAAGGTTTCACGTGCCAGTAATACATGTTAACGTTTTTAGAATGTCTCTTTCTATAAGTCTATAATATATAACTAAACTATTGTTGTATGTAAAGTAAATAAGGTTTTTAAAATGTTTAAGAAGCTTCATTTAAAATTAAATTAAAATACAGAGCTCCCTGGACCGGTGGCCAGGACCCGGGCAGTGTGAGTTCCACTGAAAATCAGGGTCCCATAGGTTGCCTACCCCGGTCTATAAGGTGCCACAGGACTCTCTGTTGCTTTTTACAGATCCAGACTAACACGGCTACCCCTCTGATACTTAACCCAGTGCTTTGAACAGGGAACAGCAAGGCTCCACCAGAGTTTGAGCATAAGGGGTAGCAAGCAGCCCCGAATACATGAGATGTGTGAACTTGAAAAGAAATCGAGTCCTGCGCTGCTGCACCAGGACCCAGCAGTGACCCCCAAGAGGGTAAAGCGAGCCAGCCAGACCTCGAGGGAGGAATCATGAAGCTCTCCAGGTCTCCGCGCTAGCCCGGTGCCTTTCCCATGCTCTCTTTCGATTACACTTTGGGGCGCCTTCCATATCCTCTTGCTATTTCTAGCTGCTTGGCCCTTGCCAAGTGACGGGCTAATAGAAAAGGAGGGAAGAAGGAGAAACCAGCCCAGCCCACTGTCTGGGGAGGTGCTGCTAAGCGGGGGTGCGGGGAGAGTTTAATCTCCTCACCACCACCCTCCCACGGCCCAGGGGGACGAGCTCCTAGGTCGGTCTCCTCTGCCAGGAGCCCGGGGGAGGGGGATTTGTCTCCCACTCCCCCGCCCGTGCGAAGCGCACAGGCCGCCGCGGCTGCACTTACCTGCTACCGGGGAGGGTTTGCGCAGCACCAGCCACCTATTCTTCCACTGCAGAGACACAAGGAGACATCAGAGTTAGCCCGGGGCCAGCTCTCCCCTCCCCCGCCAGCCAAGCAGCACCCGGGGCTAAGCGCCCTCCGGGGGTGGGGAGAGAGGGGGCAGTCCCTGCGGGGGGGCTCCCCCTCCCCTGCAAGCACAAAGCCGCGCGGAAGTGCAAGCAGCGACCTTTTTTCCATCTCTCAATTTGACATGACCCTCCACCACCACGGAATCCGTCATCTTCAGTCATGATTCCGGAGCCAGACAGCTGCTCCCGGCGGCGCGGCGCTTGCTCGCTCCCGGGGCCGGGGCCGCGGGGTCACTTTCAAAATAGCTTTATTAGCTCTCGGCTGCACGCGGACAGCCGGCCGGGGGGCGTGCGCCAGCCGGAGCCACGCGCGCCCTGCGGCGGCACGGCCGAGCCAATGCACCCCCCCCCATCCCGAGCCGGGGGGGCTGGCTGCGCTCCGGCCGGGCTGGATTCAAGGGCTGGGACAAGTGGTTAGACACGGTTTGAAAGATTCCCCCTTTTCCCTCGCCTGTGTGAGCGGGCGGCAAATACTCACATGGGCACAGCCCTGAACTTTGGGAGAGGCGCTTGGCTGTGTAATGTAGGGTGACCAAATAGCCACTGTGAAGAAACGGGACAGGGGGTGGGGGGTAATAGGCGCCTAGATAAGAAAAAGTCCCAAAAAACAGGACTGTCCCTATAAAAATGGGACATCTGGTCACCCTAGTATAATGGGCCAGGGTGAAACGCTGGATCCCCACCCACCCTAAGGCAACTTCGCCGCTGATCCAGGGGATGAAGCGGCGCCCTGGTCCCAACGTCCCGGAGGAACCCTGGGAACTGGGTTTGGACCCTGATCTAACCAAGGGCTGAGCTCCAGGTGTCGCTTCAAACACTCACGTAGTCCCATGAAAGGCCAGCAGGAGAATTCGGGTGTTCAGTATTGGGCACGTGCCTGATGTGCTGGGCCAAAGCCATGGCACTGAACTCTGCCATTTAGAGTCATCTCTACCTTTCTTTTTTTTTTGTAATGCTATCACATTCTATTTCTCTCGCACCAAGATACTCACCATGACACCATTCCCAAACACCTCCGGGGTGGGCTTTGCTTTCGTTGCCCAGTAGTAAATATCCCAGTCGTTGCTGGGCTCGTTGATCAGACAGTCATAGAGGTTCAGCTGCCGCTCGATCATGCTGTTCAGATTCTCCTTTGCAAAGAGGCTGAGCAGCAGGCAGTTCTCCAGCATGCCTCGCTTCCTGCTCTCGAACAGGCTCTTTTGGCCTGCAGGGGCTCGCTGGGGCGCTCCTGCCAGGGGGGCAAGGGGATCTCCAGCAGGTCCTTCCGCGAGTTGGCCGGGGAGCTCCCCCCGATAGCCGCATCGGGCAGGGAGCGAGGTCAGGCGGGGGGCGCACAGAGCCCGTCGGAAGAGAGACAGGAACCAAAGCCCCATCGCCGTCGCCATCCCGCTTCCTGGGCCTGGCTGCTCTATTCCGGCCTCCCACACTCTCTCATCTCTACTTTTCATAGGCAGGAAGACAAGAGTCGGGATTAAGACATAAATACTTGCTTTATCCTATGAAACGTGAGCAATGCTCCCTACTGCCACTCTAGCCCCATCCCCTTAGATTGGAATTTGGGCACATTCGTTCCATTAGAAACCGAAATATTCTGTGCTTCATCTCAACCCAGAAGTGAATTTTCCCAAAAAGTCTGAGCTAATCGTGTACGCAGTGCCATTGAGGTACATGGCAGTACACAATTGCTCTACATGTTTATTATTTATACTGGAGGAGATTTCCCAAGGCACAAAGGGCAGTTGGGAAATGAAGGGGAGTTAAGCAGTTAATTGTCTTGTGTGTCTGCGCACTCACTCACAGTGCCCAAAAGTGTGCTAGGTGCTTTACATTCAAAGACTAAGGGCAGGTCTTCACTACGGGGGGGGGGGGAAGTCGATTTAATATACGCAAATTCAGCTACGCGAATAGCGTAGCTGAATTCGACCTATCGGAGCCGACTTACCCCACGGTGAGGACGGCGGCAAAATCGACCTCCGCGGCTCCCCGTCGATGGCGCTTACTCCCACCTCCGCTGGTGGAGTAAGAGCGTAGATTCGGGGATCAATTGTCGCGTCCCGACGAGACGCGATAATTTGATCCCCGAGAGATCGATTTCTACCCGCCGATTCAGGCGGGTAGTGTAGACCTAGCCTAAGACAGATCTGCGCCTGGAAGAGTTTACGGTGCCAAGCCTCTCTCTTGCAATCCAGTGCACAGATCCATTATAATCAATGGGGCACTGCACAGGTGCAAGGATCCACACCTCATACAGATCCTGTTGCAGGATTGAGGGCTATATGAACAAAAGGTAAATTATACCAAACAGAAGTTCTCCTCTCCCTTGGAGGAATATACAGCCCAGGGTGCTATAGTTTGACTCCTTACAAGAGGAATTAGCTGCCACCAGATTAGTGGAAAACTGCAACAATAAACATCCCTCCGTTATAAGATAATGCCAAATTTCTCTTTTTTTAAAATGTATTTAACATAATATAAAAGCTCTATCACAAAATACTTTCTGGAAACTCCACTCAAGAGCGCCTCAAAGATGATATAAGACAAGATGCTGATTACTTGAGATGAATAAATATTTTTTTTTCTTTTCAAAAGGACTGCCCAAAATAATGAAGTGGAACAGTCCCACTTAATTTTAACCCCTAGCTGATAGAATAAATAAAATTGGTTATGTATTTGACTGCCTTAGATTTACATAATTAAACAATGAATTAATTAGAGTCGATCATTCTAAAAATATTTCCTACCAGAGTTTTAATTTGGTGGTAACTAATTCCATCTTTTGAATTTCTTTGAGCTTCTGTAGCCACATCACAGTAGACTTTTCTTACAATGGCATAATAGAATATTCTGGTTTTAGCTGGTATCATTAGATGCTTAAATGTATTTATTTCCTTTGAATTAGTCACTTTGGATGAGATGTCTCCTGATACATAATAAAGGAGATTTTATTAAATTGTGCATGACATGTGCTTTGTATTTTATTAGCGACTTGTTTTTATTAACTGGCTTTTTCCTTTAGCTCAATTTCTAGCTAAAAGCATCTTTAATTTGAGCATAAATATAGGATGGGATTTCTCTCTCCAGTCAGATAATCCTTCATCTGTAAATATACGGGAATGGTGAAGTAACAATATGAGGCATAATTAAAATTTCCATCTAAACAAATTTCTAAGTTAGGCTTAGATCCTCAAAGTTATGTCGGCACCTAATTCCTTGATCAAGGGTATAAACCCAACAAAAATCTACATGGTGCTATGAGTCCCTTTCGGATGCATTGTGAACAACATTCTCATCAGAATGAGAATCTGGAGGCAGACCATTCTCAGTGGAGTCTTTTGTCCTCTGGATTTTGCTTCTCCTGCTAATATTACAACATTCTAGTTTGTTGACCTTCAGGTCACAGTGCAGGGATTATCTATTCACCTTGTGGGCAGATCCACAGCTTGATTAAATTGTGAGAGCTCCAGTAAAGTGAATGGCACTATGGCAATTTTCACCAGCTGAGAGGAGCTGCTCCTCAGGCCTTTGTTTGAAAGAGGTAGGTTGAGTGGATTAAGTTTCATTTCCTTTAGAATTGACTTTTTGTCCATGCTGTTACTGTTATAAATAGGTCCAGATGCCTCAGTGAGCGGTTTTAAAAGGAAATTATAAGGTCAGTAACTAAAAAAAAAAGCTGTCATCAGCACCAAACTCCAAAACCCACAGCCAGCCCGTTCCTTCACCCTCCCCAAAACTGAGTGAAGATTGAATGGCTGCATACATGTCACCAGACATCCAAATAAAAATATGTACAGCTTAGATGGATATTAATTTTAAAGTGAAATTGAGTCCATAGAACAGATGCAGTACAGTTCAGGGAGTGTTAACATTTCCCACACTCTGTCCCACTAATGGATTTCAACAAACCCTATTCCAGAGGCACTATCTCTGGAGATGAGTGGTATAGTTTGCCTTCATGCTAATTCAGTCCTTGCGGTCCTGCAGCATGGTAATAGTGGGTCTCATTACATGGACACATTCTTTTCACACAGGCTACCAAGCCATCATCATACTGGAACTGATCAGAGATTGGACGTGTCCAGACCCCCAGACCCAAACAATTCTCTATTTTAGGCAGGTTTGGAATCTAAATCCATATCAGGATCTGAATTTTCAAACCCCATTAGTGGGTCAGGAAGGCCAAACTTGGATCTGAACATGCATGACTTTGCAGAGATCAGAATTGAGACCAAGATCTAAATTTTGGTGGCTTGGACTCATTGGAAGTAAAACATTTTGACTGCTAGAAACTTGTGTGGATTTGAAAAATGTGTATAAAAGTAAAAAAGCCACTGGGTGAAATTCACCCTTGTGCAGAAGTCGAGCACACCATTATGCATTGCTGAAACTTAAGCATGGGGTTTGTACTAGCTTTCTGCACAGGCATGATTTCATCCTCTATCTTTTACCAGTCCCCTGAACCATCAAGCTCCCCTTGATTTTAATTTATATGTTTAAAATAATAAAATACCAACAAAAACAGACTTTTATTGCTATTGTTTTATTGTTATCCTCTATTGTTATATTTTTATTCAATAATTCACATCACTTATCTTGTTTATTAACATTTGCATTTTCTTTATACTTTTGGAAACGTATTTCTTCTTTTTTTATACAAAGTCTATCTTCGTAATTTTAAAAATCATTTGCTGCATCTAAAAATCCCTGTGGTTTATGATACTGCCAGAACCATCAAATGGAATCAATTATTTTAATGGTATAAAATATACGTGTACCCAATCACCATTTTAAAGTTTCAGATATTTTAAAACAATTTTTGAAAATATTTAATAGTATAGTAAAAGCCTCTTAAAAACTCTTCAATTCAATATTTGAATAAGATCATCTGAACTAAACTTCCAGGACTTCATGTAACTGACATGTCTAGAAGCTCTATTTTTAAAAAGCCATAATCTACCATTCTGATGACAAGTCAGAGGATTATGGCTTTCTGATGTCAAATCAATGCAGTTTGACTTTTTGTTAGGGTGACAGAGTATGCAATCATTGCCACCATCTGTGTTATCGATGGTTCCATTGGACAGTAATCTATATAACATGACATGTAATCACTAAATCTCCAAGAAAAATTATTTGTGACTCACTACTACCTATCTGTTCTTTTTTATAATATATGGGACCCATATTTTTTAAGTTCCAAAACAATTACAATATTTATTAATACAATAATGTGAGACATCATTAAAACAAGAAAAAGCCAAAAGGCAATTAATCACTCTTCAATGGTTGTTGAAGTGATGTGTTTACACTACAACTCTCAGCATGAGCAGCAACTGATGTGGTCTCAGAAAGGTCCGAGTCAATCACTCTGAAATGTTTTTTTAAATAGTAAATGTAGCACTTTGGGGAAGTGTTGGACTGAGCACACTGGAAAATTAAGGTCCTGACTCAGCAAAGCACTGAAGTACGTATGTTCTTAATTTTAGGCACATCCTTAAATCCACCCCTATTCAGCAAAGAATGTACTTAACTTTAAGTACTTTGCTGATTCATGGCCCAAGACCTCTATTTTTCCATAGAACTGGTTTGGCACAGGCAGCTGCGGTGCACATTTTCCTGTAATTCTCTGCCAATGTGTCTCAACATTGACCTGCAGGGAACACCTGTAAGGACGTGAGAGTAATTCAGTCTCCATGCTCATTCACTTCTTGAACTCTGTGCTAGGCTTAGCAACAAGGATGCCAGTTTTGAGGGTGAGTTTTGTGATGTGGCCAACCCTCCACCAGGGACTGGCTGGAGACCACCAACTAACTCATTTCACCAGAGGTGCTGACTTTAGGATTTTCCCAAGGGTGCTAGACTCCTGCTCCGACCTAGACCCTGCTCTCACTCCGTTCCCTTCCCCAAGCCCCCACCCCACCTCTTCCCACCCCCACTCCACCCCTCCCCTGAGTGCGCCCCACCCTCACTCCTCCTCCTTCCCCCCACTGCCTCCAGCTCACCACAGAACGGCTGATCACGGCGGGCGGGAGGCGCTAG